GAGCTTTAAACCTGCCGTGTCGTGCACAGAATGCACAGAAATGAAAGTAAATTTGAATTCCATGTTGATGATGAAGATCATGTGATGCAACAGAAAGTTCGAGGACACCTTATAAACTGACCATTTCCAAGGTCAATAATAAACTGTCAATCTCAACTATTCACCATGGAGACAGTCAGGTCACTGTGGAATATGTTTACATTTACTTTGTATATAGGCTCTTATTCTATTTACTTTACTTATGTATGTAATCCATTACTCCCTGAGACTGTGCTTAATCATACAGAGTAATGTTGACTGATTCAGTCTATATGTCCTCTCTTTCACATTAATATTAGTTTATTGTCCTGAATGATTTTAGTAACTCTGATCTAATATTGTTGTACTCTGTAATATCTACAGATGTAACTCAGTAATGCAGATTAATACACTGTCACTGGTAAATAAAGAGACTGAGAGAGAAACAACACATAAGTCATTTTCATAACTAAAAATTAATTATTTCAGATATTAAAACGATCCACAAACTGGTGAATACACAATCTGCACACTGAAGATGGCTTTATTATATTTCAATATCTTTATATATATATATGTTTTATTATATTTATTTATGTTTATATATTTTTTTCAATATATTTCTTTATGTGAAGACGCAGAAAGCCACCAGTGTCTGTACGCTGTACGATCTCTCTGGGCTGCAGCTGAATGTAACACACTGAACACTAAATGTGTTTATATTGGCCCTGTGATGGGAGGCTTTATATATATTTGATCCTTATAAACACAGAAATAATAATAAGAACTGTTAGAAGAGGATTTTATTACAAAGAGCACAAACGGTGGAGCCACAGTCTTTATAAAAATGGAGAGAGTTAAGTAAGTATGAGATCCATGCAGTGTTTATAGAAACTATTTGGGTTCAGTGGAAGTCCGCAGCACCGAACTCCGCCTGGTGGAGCAGCTGCTGGATCTTGGTTCTGACCAGCGACTGTTTCTGTGCGGGGAGCCTCCTCATGGCGGGCGCCAAGCTCAGTAAAAACAGCGTAACATCGTCTCTCTGATCCGCATCCCGGTCCCTCTGAGCCTCCCGGGCCTCCATCCTCCTCAGGTACTCCTCCAGCAGGCCGTCGGTGCTCCTCCTCTGGGCTCGGGTCGGCCTGGCAGGACACTCCTCCTCGCCGTCGGCGTGCTCCTGCGACTCCTCTCCGACGCCTTCCAGCTCCTCCGTTTTCAGCCTGGAGGCGGCGCAGTGCGGCTGTGGGCTGCGGCGGGTCTGCGGGTCGGGCTGCGGCTGATCTGGGGACTGCGAGGAAGAGTGCGAGGAAGAGTGCGAGGAAGCTAAGGACGTCGCCAGAGACGTCACCGACTGCATCATCATCTCAAACAGCTCCTTCATGTTGACGTGTTGCACTTGTTGCATTTGTGCGTCGTCGTCGTCGTCCATCGCGGCGGTCTCCGACGTCTCCTCGATCTTTGCTTCTTTCAGTCTGACGGGGTCTCTGCCGGCCGACGACGGTCGCTTCCTCTGAACGAACTCTGAGGATGAGGACGATGAAGACGTTGTCGTTGTCGTAGCGATACCTACAAAGACAGACAACGACAATCAGGGTTCATCCCTCAGCTACAGGGCGTCCTTCCTGTGTGAGTCTGAAGATCTGTTCACACTGCGGGACCAATGAGAGCGTCTCAATGAGTCCTCATTAGAGATCATAACTGTGTGTGTGAGGAGGTTGTCTGACTGTTAGTTATTAGTTTAACAGTTTTATTAAGACTCGTTAGAGCAGACAGAAGATCTTTTAGTGTGTGTGAGCCCGTGCAACCCCTAAAGACTGACAGCCGGGTATCAAACCTCACAACAACAAACTGTAGGAATCTTCCTCTACGAACCGTAATTCTCGTCGTCGTCGCTCCGTGTTTCGGTGGTCGTGCTGCAGCCCATCATGTCGGACACCTGGAGCAGGGAGGGCTGCGGGTCCAGGGCCCAGCCGTTGGTGCCGGCGGCCCTGGCGTCGATAAACGGGTTTAAAAAAGACAGAATGGCCGAATATCTCCAGGGCCGGTAGTTGAAGAGCCCGACGCCGCTCTCGCGTCGCTCTTTCTCCCGCTGCCGCTCCCTCCGGTGTTGGTCCCGCAGCATCTTCCACTTCCTTCTGCACTCAGACTCTGACAGGAAGACACATTACCTAATGAGTGTGTATCCATCGACCTCTGTCTCCCCCTCCCCCCAGGTTAAGAGTCTGGGTGTCATCCTTGACAGCACTTTATCTTTCCAATCCCATATCAATAACATCACCCGGTCTGCATATTTCCACCTACGCAATATTAATCACCTCCGCCCCTTCCCTTTCTCCCACTCCACTGCCATTCTTACACAGCTTGTCACCTCCCGCATCGACTACTGGCAACCTCTTCTCTTCGGTCTACCCCACAAATACCTCCATAAATTTCAACTGGTCCAGACACTCTGCAGCTCGAATCATTCCTCCAGAACCCCCTCCATCCACCACATCACCCCTGTTCTGCAGCAGACTCCACTGTCCCGGTTAAATCGCATTGACTACAAAATTCTCCTTTTACGTTCAAGGCCATCCATAACCTTTCCCCCTCCTTATCTGTCCAAAAACTCCTCCACATTGCCACCCCTTCCCGTTCCTCAGATCTGCCTCTCTTTGTCCACCTCTCTTGTCCTCCCGCCCGCCTCGTCACCATGGGGAATGCAGGGCTTTCAGCTGCTTCTGCCCCGACTTCTGGAACTCACTCCCACCGGGACCTCAGGAACCTGGACTCTCTTCACACTCTTCAAATCAAGACTTAAAAACTCACCTTTCAGAATTGCATACCCCCACTTAACTGTATACACTTTGTCTTTTCTTATCTGTTTCTTGTTTCTTACGTGTATTATTTTTTGTGTTGTACGGTGTCCTCGAGTGCCCAGAGAGGCGCCTTTAAATAAAATGTATTATTATTATTATTATTATCTCTGACACTGAGATCAAGAAGCGTGAAAGCAGAAATGACTGAATTTCTGGGATGGAACGATGGGGTGGAGAAACAGAGGAATGGATTTGAAATGAAAGAAGAGAATAAACTGCAAGAGAAACGAAGGATCACAAGTGGCAGAAGGAGACATGTTTGATTGCTGCAGCTCTCCACTTTTAACCGTTTTCTCCTTCCCATTCTCATCTCCAATTCCCTTGGGTGTAGATGACACAAAATTGATTTAACGCTTTTCATTCTCAGCTCATTTACAGCAATCAACCCTACCTTGTTTTGTCAACTCTCGGCTGAATTCAACAGTAAACCCATTATGTATGCACATTGTGTGTGTGTCAAGTCACACTTCTTTATTGTCTTCGGCCCTATGTCATTTCACATAACGCCTGTAATATCCTTTGTGGGTAGCTGCGTGTATGAATCTGGGAATAAATTTGCAAGTGCAGCATATCAAACAGCTCCACTGTGAGTTGTACTATGCATGTTCCCATCCTCGCTATTCCCTGACCAAATTATGTAATCATATGCATTTGCAATGAAAGCATCTTAACAGAATCACATCACAGGGATGAATACTGGACTTCAAATTAAGACATTATTAAAAAAACAAGACTTCAAACCAAACCCAAGTTTGGAATTTACTGCATTCATTACTTTTTTAGAGAATTAATTGGTCAAATAGAACCAGAAAATGGTCATTTTAGGTTTCCCCCCCTATTTTTACATATTAAATTTTCTATAAGAGGAAAGAGCAATGCAGTGCACAAGTGCAGTCCCTGTCTGGCTTCTTCACAGAAAACACCTATATCTTTATTTCCCCCATGACTAAATAATATACGCAGTCGTGCACTCCATGGGATTCATATAGTGAGGAAAAAAAGAGAAATGGTTTGCAGGCTGTGCTTCTCAAAAACTCCATGCTGTAAAATATTCATCCTCAAATATTATTCTGGCAATTTCAGGAGTGCCACTCTAGTGTTGAATGTGCCTGCAAAAGGAAGAGGAAGAGGAGATGGAAGCTGAGAGGGGAATGGAGGAGGAAGAGCTTTGATTGAGTGAAAAGGTCAATGTGTGTGACTGTGCTCAGAAATAGAGGGTCACTGATGGGTTAGGGGTCTTAGACTCACTAAAAAATTTTGACGCACTGTAAAAAAGGATTTGTGTTCATTTACTGTATGTTACAGGCAGCAAGAATTTATCTCCCTGCTGTCCATGTACTGTGTTTTTCTTGTTGCTCGTTGTGTTCAGAAGCCCAAGTGGAGGTAAAGGTGGAGCTGTGTGTTGGGCAGAGCTGTGCCTATAGCCAGACCGTTTGCTGTTTGCAGCTACAAGCTACGGTAACAGCTGGGTGTCAACCACATGTCCTATCCTAAAATGATTTATTGGTGTGGAATTTATGTTGTTTATTCGCAATGCCTCGGTTTCTGTAAGCATTTTACAACTTCAGCCTTATCTTAATTTTTTTTCATCTATGGCGTTGAAACCAAAACGCTTCCTTAAATTACCTCTCAGACTGTTTGGTGTGATTATTATCAGTTTAGCATGGGTTGCTAGTGTACTCCATTTTGCATAAGAAAAAAAAGAACAACATCCTAGTTTAACTGATAGGGCAGCAGGGCATGCAAAGGGTCATACATTAAAGTCATTTTAGGAACACTTCCATTGGAGTAAAGGGCACAGCCTCTGAATTTTTTAATTCCAAAAGATCATTATAGAACAGATATAACATTTTTCCCATGAATGACACTTCTTGGGAAAAACAAAAGATGACAGCCCTGGTAACAGTACAGAGGCAATTGCAGGAAAGAAGATTTTAATAGTAAAAAAGATTACTATTTTAATGTTATGCAGTAAAAGAGCCTTTTATATACTTATATACCTTTATAATACCAAAAGATTAGTTCAATATATTTGGAAATTGGCTAACCTGCTCCTGGCTGTAGCTTCATAGTTAAGGAACATATAGTGGAATTTATTTTCTCAATCTGACTCTCTGCAAGAAAGAAAATACATATTCAAGCAGATTTCTCAGAATAACAAACTATGCCTTACACCATTGGTTCTCAGCCTGGGTTCCAGGGACCCCAAGGGGTCCTTGAGGAGTTTCCAAGAGGTCCACAGAAAAATTATTGACAAAAGTTAGTCCAATGAGAGAATGTATAAGAATGAGGTGTTTTTACTCTTCACTGTTAATCTACCAATCTACAGTATAGACAGTTATGAAATAACTAAATCTTATCAGCCCGGGATCCCTGAGACTACATCTTATAAAATACCGTACATCCACGGCCTGATGTGTGTCAGTTTGAGGGTCCTTGACACTAAAAAGGTTGGGAACCACTGCCTGATTTTGTTGCATTAAGTGCATTTACTCAAACTCGTTAACATTTTAGATTTTATTTTATGACTATCAATCAATATTTTAAAAAATCATTTGAAGCTGTAACAATTAATTTCTTTCAGCTGCAAAAAGAAGGAACTGTCTGATTCAGGGTCACTGTTGTCACCCTTCATAGGTTGCGCTGACAGCAACAAAACTAGATCCCTGCCACTTTTTCAAGCACTGCTGCCAATCAAGACACATTTAGGGAATGATGGGAGACAATTGGGGTTTCTGGGTGAGTGAGTGGCCAGCGAGGTTTGTTATGCAATAGTGAGTAATATGTTAGATTTCTGCAACAGTCAGCTGCCCATGTGTATCAAATATTGGAAAAAAGATTGCAGAATCTACCACAGGAATTATCTTTAAGCACAGAGAAAACCCTTTCACACCACAAAAATAAGGACATGTACCATGTAATGAGAACTGGATGGGTTCAATAGATCCTAGAAAGCTAATTTAAGCTAAGTCTACAAGCAAGCCACATAATTGAATCTAGATCTACACACACATTCACTGCCTAATTCAGACATGACATGATTGATTGATTTACTGGCAATGATAATGAGGCCTGAAGAACTCACTTTTATGTCAGATCTCAACGCGAGTGTGTGGCTCTTGTTCTACTCAAGAATAAAATAAGTACTGTGACTGTTATTTAATGTTGTTATCTGTTGTTCCTTAAAGATCCTGTGGGTTTCTGTATCTTCTCTTCAAAAGGTTTATTGTGCAGCTTGTGTTGTGACCAGTCATTAATGTTCAGTTCTACAAACTCTACACCAGTGGTCAACAAGGCCTCCTTAAGATTGTAGTCAAAGATGTCAACATTCAGCTTCAAAGTTAGACACTTTGTGTGACCAGCCATCCACCCTGATCTTGTGCTATAATATCTCCACCTTTGCTTCTGTGAGAACACATTATTTAAGTACAAGAGGTCCTTTGTCAGATAAATAGGTTGTTGTAAGTGTTTGAACAAGTAACTATTACTAATTTCTGAGGACAGTGTCCCAACTTGGTGGAATCGACGTTTTTGGACTTGTTGCCAAGAAAACAAAATCAGAATGAGGTTCCTCAAAGAGTAATGCAAGTGAAGTTTCCGAGTTCTTGAGGAAGTTAATAAATTACTGGATTAAGTACTTTCAGTGGAAAAAAAAGTTTTGGATGTTCATCATTTAAATGCATGACATGTAAATGTAAGAGGAAGAGGATTATTAAAAAGAGCTTGGTGGAGTTCAGATTTTTTAACACATCTTGTCAGGGATTTGAATCATTTCGTCACCTATTAAGGTTCACTTCACCAGTGCTGTCAATTTTAAGCAAGGGCGAGTAGGATCCTCAGAGAAGCAGAACATGTTTAACACCTGCTCCCTCATTACATCTATGAGGAGACATTTTTTAATGTGTAATTTTTCATTGATGTCATATGATTAATATACTGTATGATAGCTAGTCAGTGTCGTCTTTGTGAATCCTTTATTTCCCCAAAATGTCTTGCTTACATGAACACTGCACACATACATCACTGTCTCTATCTCGTACACACACACACACACATTTTTTGACGCACCATTTGTCTTGTTCACCATGTCTAATACACACACGAGCATCATCATGAGGAGTAATCTTGTGTGGACATCTTCACAAGCCTGTGTGTAAAGATACTCATGTAGTTAAGCTTGTGGTGTTTGTATTGGTAATGCATTATTCCTGTCTAATATCTGGCTTCAGGACATACAGTGCAGTGTGGTGTGTAAACTTTAAATAAGGTGACAGAGGTTGGTTGGATTCTCACCTCAGTAGGAATTAACATTTACAGTGCAGCTCAACACACATCAATGTGGGATGTCAAGTGAAGGCTGACTGTTTACTTTAAAATCCAATCACCAGAAAAGAGAAAAATAGTAAAGAATGGAGAGGAGTATAAGAGTTTTCCAAACATCAACAGTGCCATCATCTTTAAGTAGATGCCATTATGCAACTCGACAATACTCTAAAATGTATTTTTGCAATTTAAAAAATCTTCTACTTTTGTCATAAATGAGTGAATAGCAAGTCAATCTATTTTACAAACTGGTTCCATGTACTGTAAAGACAAAAGGTCTGCCTTAATTATTTCCAATTATTTCCTCCTGTGACCATTAAACATTTCATTCAAAG